ACCTTCAATAAATTTCTGGTTTTATATTCCAGGTACATGGTCCGCAACAAGCTTCCAGCCACGTCACCCAATTGCCCAACCGCTTAGCGTCGAAGTATGTTTTATCGAACGCTGAGTGAGGTTGGCACCGATCGCATAAGAAAAAATGACGAGAATCACGATGTGTCTCGATATCAGCGGATACAGTTGGCTTATAACGCAAAACTCACTGCTGTGTCGGGTTTGAACTTCCCAGGTCAACGAGGCTGGTTCGTAGCTGTATGTTACATTAAGCTTATCCAACCGTTGAAGAACGCGGGCCCTGTATAAACCTTTGCCCCAGTGAGATAATAGAGATGAGGACATGTTCTAATAGCTGTCAGTGACTCTTGGCAATTGAATTCCTATCTCAACTTCATATGAAATATTTTTCTCCGTTTGTTTTTTTCTACGAGGCATAACAAAGGTCTAAGAAGAGACAAGCAGAGACGTTGAGCGGCCATGGCAATATCAAACAAGGTGACACGCGCTGACACGGACTTAACCTCTTGCCAGAGCGCAAGGACCGCGCGCACGACCGCTGCAACGTGTAGTAAAACACCTAGTTCGTTTTGCTTTCAACAAGTCACCGACGGAAAATGCGTGGTGAAGCCAAGAACCGACAACACGCGACATCCACAATAGCAGGAATAGTCGCGCGAAAATAGGCGGCTCAACGCTGCTGGTCATCAATGTGTTTTGTCGTACCACAGGGTATCGTTTGTGGCCCGACATAGTTTTGGTACTACCACCACCAGTCAGCGTCTGCGCCAGCCGCGTCTGTGTCACCGTCTGTTCCAGCGGTAAAGCAGCGCAGATGTTCTTTAAACATTGTGGGGAAATATGGTACTATCGCGAAGGAAATACAAAATTACATGTCGCGTGTGTAACTAGTCGCTACAAAAGAAACCGTGTCTGTTGAGAGTGGAAGGCTGGCCTCAATGGACAGAAGGTAGTTGGGAAAAATGGTAAGGACACGAAACAAAATGACTGAAACCTCATGACCGCCGGTATGCATGCTAAAGTGTCAACTGCAGGTAGAGGTGGAAAGGAAATGGCAACAGTAAATGGTTTACTGGCCATACTGTTATAGTCAGGTTATATACTTCCCGCTTACTATACTGACAGCCGACAGTAAATGCCGCTCCAGGGTAGTTAATCAATGTTAGTTGATGGGAAATGTGACATAACGACGCTCACCTTTGATTACTATCCTGGACTGGTCTGGGGCTGCAGATAGTTAAATTTGTGCTTCGATGTTCGATATATCGTCCTGCAATCTAGCAGGTGCAGGCATACCGTCTAACTTGGATTTTAACTATATCGTGGCACGCAATCATTATGAACTTAAACCTTTTATTGCGCATTTTATATATTTATGTATGGTATGTTGTATATTAACTACCAGATTTATGCATTAAGCTGAAAATGCTCAATTCTGGCCATTTTAACTTTGTACATTGAGCTGTCATAACGCACATTCCAAGTGCAACATCTCATTAGATTAAACATCTCGCTGTTTAAATTTATGAAACATTTAGCCTATTATTGCACGGCCTTTTTACCCAAATATCGCACATTTGGCCAAAACGAGACTAAACAGCTTGTCCAATCATTTTGAATTTTGATATTCACGTATGCACGCATGATTGAAACTAGTTAAGCATATTCACACGGGTTTTTTCTAATAAATTGCTGAGATGTAAATATTAATTTCTGTGTCTTCTTTTAATTGTCTGGTCATAAAAAATTACTGTTTCGAGTCTATTAGCCTAAGAGGCAAAACGTTTGTTTCAGGTGTTGCTATAACGGCCTACTGGTACTCTATACGAGTTGCTGTGTGGTCAAAATGTAATGTTGAACTTAGCTGGCCGTTGGAGGATTATGTTGCAGATTTGTTGAAAAGTCTCGTGCTGCTATTCTTCGTACTGGCGTACTGCTCTTTTCCTATTGGCACAGACAATAAGTTGAGTCGTCCAGACGCTTAACCCTAACCCAACCCTAACCCTAACACTAAACCGACTCGACTATCTATAGCGTGTTAT